GCTAAAACAATTCAGTATCAAAACAAGAAAAAAAACCTAACACTTTTTGTTATCCTTTTAAATATATTTAATTTTTCTTTACAGGATTTTTTACGAAAGTATAAATATCTAGATAGCGGTGATGACAGTACGACAGTCTCCGAAGACACTTTAAGGGAAGCCGTGAAGACTTTTCAATTATTTAACGATATCAACGTATCGGGTACTATGGACCCACAAACACTTGAACTAATGGCCAAGCCTAGATGTGGTTTACCAGACCCTAAAATCAACTTAACGAATGGCGAGGCACCAATGGGGCTGGCCAGAGGCTATACAGCTGCAGGAAAGTGGACCAAAACGAATCTAACATACAGGTATGTTTGTTTACAAATGAATATCCAGCAAACACAAAACGTAACTTAATTATTAGTGACGTAACAGCTATGATCGCTCATCAGATAAAACCAGGGCCCAAGATATGCAGTAGGGGATATCATTGACATTTTTCTGGGCCTCAACTCCTCCTTTAATCAATGTGTCTGTTAGGCTGAGGCAAGAAAAATTACGATTATGGTACTTTTAGATGGCCAGAAATGGCACTCTCAGAATATCATTCCTTTCTTTTTTACCCCATTTTTTAAATATAATTTTCAAAAATATGGGGCCCCCCTTGAATCCACCACTGTACCCAGTTCTCAAAGTGAGCTACTAGAGCAACAGCGTTAGTGAGGGACCTAAAGCCTCTTCATTACGCCACTGGTTATAACGGTATAATATCGCGAATGTTTATGGAACATTCTAGTAGCAGATAACGTTAACATACTTTATAGCAACTTTTAATAACGTTAATATTACGTTACTGCAAATTATTTAGTCATAAATTATTAATTATTATTTCTTATTAACTCTAGGAGGCTTATATATACATATATAATTATATATATACATATATAATTAATATATATAATTATTTATAATTAAATATAATTATATATTATATGTATATGTATGTATTATAAATATTACTGTATATATATATTTATCTTATTAATGTATACATATATATATATAAATATATCTTATAAACTCTAGGAGGCCTATATAAATATATATAATTATATATATATATATAATATAAATCATCAAAGGTACATATACAGTG